TTTTATCAATAAATAAAATGAGAGTGAAAAGGTTTTGATTTTGCATTATTATAATACTATTGATTGGTGTGTAGTGAAGCTATAAATAATTTTGTACCTATCACAGACTAAAACAGAAGATGATTAGAAAACTTGACTAAAAATAAGACAAACGTCAGCACAACAACTACTTCAAGTATTGGGACTGAGAGCACATGATCTAGATTAGATAATCCGATGTTTAAATTTATCCGATTTTTTGGGTATTTAGGGCTGAAACGGTTACGAAATCACAATTTTAATCAAGTTAATCTTGCGATGAAATCTCTCTTTTTTTGGTTTAATTAATTAATTAACACAAGCTTAATTAATTTTGTTTTAGTTGAGGCTTGTTAATGCATTTATTTATAGGTGGTGCCACCTATATCCAGAGTAATTAATGTCTTATCACAGCGATAAAGTTACAATGCAGATTTCAAATCTTTTATCTAAAAGGTTTTCGACTTGGCTAAAAATGTGGCAAAATTGGAAAAATTATTGACACCAAAAGATAAAAAACCAAATATACCAATATTTTGGTTTTTCGCTTATTTTGGTTAAATTTGTTATGAAAATGGTTTGCAACTTGACTAAAATTTAGATAAAATGGCAACAGTGTGTAGCACTTCTGAATAATGTCGAAGAACTTGGGATTTTTATTTTTAAATCTCATTAATCAATTTCAATTTTTTGGTTATTCGCACTTTATTATCACCGAAATGTTTTTTTTTTACTTTTTTTTAATTTCAATTTTTTTTTATCAATACAGTGTGTTTCAAAACTAGCAACACGTTTTGAGAATTGTATATTTTTTATGAAAGAGGTTTACGACTAGACTAAATATTACTGAATTGCTGAAATGTAACACATTTTTGTGGATTTATAGATTCAAAAACTAGGGATTTTTACTTTTTTGAAGAAAAAAAATTAATACTTTTATGCTTGTTTTCATTCAAAAATAAATTTTTCGTGAAAATGGTTTGTAACTTTACTGAAATTTAGATAAAAATGGCAACAGTGTGCAGCACTTTTGAAAAATGTTGAAATTTAATAAAAATTAGTAAAACATCATTATTTGAAAACTAGGGATTTTTATTTTTAAATCTCATTAATCAGTTTTAATTTTTTGTGACAATTTTTTGGTTATTCGCACTTTATTATCACCGAAATGTTTTTTTTTTTTACTTTTTATTAATTTTAATTTTTTTATCAATACAGTGTGCTTCAAAAATAGCAACACGTTTTTGTAGGGATTTTTTTAGGTTTTACAATTAGACTAAATATTAATAAATTGGTAAAATATAACAAATTTTTGTGGGTTTATGGATTCATAAACTAGGGATTTTTTTTTGAAGAAAAAAAATTAATACTTTTACGTTTGTTTCTATCCAAAAATTAATTTGTCATGAAAATGGTTTGTAACTTTACTAAAATTTAGGATATTAGGCAAGTCGTAAACTTTATATATTTTTTTTTTGATTTTTTGGTGGATTATAGAATTTTTCAGGAAAAGATTTACGACTTTATGTTTTTATAGATTGAAAATTAGGGATTTTATTATTTTTTTCGAAAATTT